ATCGTTCATTCATATGTACTTCATTTCATTTCATTCATAGGCCAGTGTAAACACCAGCTATACCTAGGATGTAGTTTAATACTTTCATTGGGTTCGTTGTGCAATGACCAAGCATGACCTAATGTCATTACTTGAATCTAACTCACCTCTTGATTATCCTATCCTAACATCTTTGGTATCATTCGTTTCATTATGTGCATCTTTTGAGGCTGACCTCATTCATTCATTAGGAACTTTAACTTTAACTGACATAGATCTGTGAGAATCATGAAATCTAGTATCATGAAACCCCACACCAAAAAGAGGTGGAATCACTGACCAAAGTGACCCAAAACATGCTAGCATACATAGGAATTGAACCCTGCCAGATCCATATATCGGCAGTATAGGTTTGAAGACTAGGAGATATAAGGAGACGTATACCTGGCACGGCGAACAATCTCATCTCATAAGAGTTATATGAACATCCGCCATTCCCGAAAGATGGCATCACCGCTCATAGCTAGTCTATCGATGCTTTGTATAAAGTTCCACTACATTCAACTCATACGTCATGGAAGATGGCTTCTAGTATGAGATCATTATATCTCAATAGATGATTTCTCATTCCATCATTAGTATTAAGTGTGTTAATCTCGATACTTTTATTAGAGCATTCATTGAGACTGGTCTCTTCATTAACTTTACACTTTCATAGGTGAGTACATTTTGGTAAATTTACTTAGGCTCATTTGAGATTGATCTTATATTTTATATCAGCCTCATATCATGATGTCACCTTATTCATTAAAACATTAACACATTTGCTCTTAATAATTACTCACCCCATTTTACGTGAATGTTCATTTCATCATATGCCAATGCACTTGGCAATTTAGTGTGTTTCACACTCTTACTTAACCCTTCTAGGGTTTCATCATTTCATTGTTCATTTAATCATTTCTTTGTTCATTTCATCATTTCATTGTTCATTTCATTATGTGTCAATGCACTTGGTCATTTAGTGTGTTTTACCCTCTTACTTAACCTTTCTTGGGTTACATCATTTTATTACATACATATTAGGTTCACTTTATTTTAAACATATTCTAGACTTATGGGTCTATACATACAAGTCATGAGGCTTCATTCATCGCTCGTTTAAGTGATTCATATCTTCCTAAGATTATGTAGTACAAGGCTTATGCATCTTGTATGTATGCCAAGATCTCGATTTCGATCTAAGTAAGCGGCATTATTCTTGAATATTTAATTCACCTATTACTTATGTATCAATACAGAATTTGGGCAAGGGAACCCGATTTAAAATCCCTTGGACAACACTTTACATTTTAATTTTTATTTAATTCAAGTCCACGTGACATTGGGACCCTAGATCGAGCCCCAACATCACCATTTCCTTTTTAGTTTTATCATTTGAAAAATCTCTTTCTTGGCCGAGGGGTTGTGGGATCAAACCCCCACAACCTCTCTTTTTTTTATTCTCCTCCTTAAATACCTTAGAGGTCGTGGGTTCGATTTCCACACGCCTCCTCCTTTGTTTTTCTTTTATTCTCCTCCGTAAAATCAGCCTTAGAGGTCGTGGGTTCTAATACCACAAGCCTCCCCCTTTAATTTTCTTTTATTCACCTCATTAATATGGCTAAGAGGTCATGGGTTCTTTTCCCACACACCTCCCCCTTTAGTTTTCTTTTATTCTCCTCCTTAATCTGCCTAAAAGGACGTGGGTTCGAATCCCACACGCTTACCCTTTATTTTTCTTTTATTCTCCTTCTTAAAGTGATTGAGAGGTGGTGGGTCGAATCCGACTCCTCTCATTTCTTATTTTTTTTTCCTTTTAAGTTACATTTTCAGCCAATACCATGGTTCGAATCCCCTTCACCACATTTCTTTTTACTTCTTTATTATCATGTTTTTTAACATGGTGAGGTCACATGTTCAATCCTCCATGACCTCACTTGTTTTAATTCACTTTTTTCAACATTTTGAACCCTCTTTGCTGACCGAAATTCATCACTAGAAGCTCGAAATTTTCTTTTAATTTTTCAGCATCCTTTCATCTTAGTTCTTAGGGGAATTTCGTAGAGCATTTAGAACATTTTAGGTGTGTTTTCATGGATTAGTTTAGACAATAGATTATCTCTAAAATCAACCACATTCAACTCATATGAACATCACATTTACATCAACATGTGCACATGAAATATAAAGAACTATCATGTCATTTCAAGTCTTAAACCATGAACAATAGCCACGGCAACACACACATACAAACGTAATTATTTTTGGGAACATCAACATAAATCACATAAACATAATCATCGCGAAAAAATGTTTCATCCCTAGTTTTCTACCAGCAAACATAACCAACCTATGATTCAATGGGAGCTAGTGACAGGGACATGCAACGGGAAACAATCCTAGTATTTGAAATAGATTCGTCTGAACCTTAGGGGTTCTCTTGGGAAAGGGAACAAGAGGGAAGAGAACCCTTACCTTTTTGACGTTCAAACCTCGACTTGATTCCAAAAGAACTCCTCCAAACACCCGTCCAACACCAAACTCGACGAAAAACCTTCTCTTTGCTTACGTGAACGATTTAACGTTTATTTTTCTTATTTTTTTCGTGTGAGTTCTTCAAGTGTGAAGAACTTTAGTTTACCTACTATTTTTGGATTTATTTTGGCAGAGTAAATGTAAATGAGAGTGAAAGAGACGTGCGAGAGAGAGATGAGCGTGGGAGAGAAGAGTTTTTTAGGCTTAGGATTCGAGTTTAGGACTTAGTCATATGAGGTTTTATTTAATTATTAAATAATCTGATTTTCTTTTATTTTAAATCATCTAATAACTAATAAATATAAATTAATTATATTAATTTTCCAACTTAAAATAAAAACAATTTAATCCATTGCTTCCACCTACGTTCGAACCCGGTGGAGCAAGACTTCACTTCAACAACCCAATTTCGGCCCTCTCTTTCCAAAATACCCCTCCCCTTATTAAATAAATTATTAATATATATTTAGGGTAATTACGATACTACCTTAGCCTGGAAAAAGACCATTTTACCCCTAGATCTTCCAAACCTAAGATTTCCTCTTTTTATGTCCGGTAAAGACTCCTTCGAATGAATCTTCATATTCGAGAGTCCTACATGGTTGGACCCAACCATTACTAGCTCAACTAACTCCCCAAGTTAGTTGTCTTGGATGTAGCAAGGATTCCGAGGTGTGATTCTACGCGCATCAAACCGTGTGAACCCTGGTCTAATCTTAGGCACTCTTGACACATTAAACATTTCTTATCTTATCCATTTTATGGGTTGTTACAACAAAGAGTTATCTTATCCATTTTCTTTCTATAGTTTCTTCCATTTCATAACAATTTTTGAAACTCAAGGTGTCATATCTAGTGACCTGATCTTAGTACTAAAAAATATGAAATTACTTGATTAAATGTTATACTCACAATGAAAGATTATTCGAGTCTTAATTTAAAAATTTTATGGCGTGTTACAAACCATTATATTTATTTCAAGTATTTAGTTTTGCCATTATTAGTCAGGTAGAGATAGTTGGGGTTTGTTAAAAAAAAAAAGACATCTTAGCAGAGGCTTTCTCAGTAAGATAGTAGTTTAGCTTCTTTTTTCCCCTAGATATCCTCTGTAGTATTTTGGATTTAATAAATTATTCAAATTCAGCTTCCGCATCAATTACTTTTAATTTTTGCTAATATATTTTCTTAATTCATGACAGTCACAGAACATGGTTTAGATTTGGTTTTCTTGTGGCTCTAAACTACATATCATTACTAGAGGTTAATCTCAGATCGTGAAAATTGCAGTGTTAAACTAAAATCATGTACTGTAGAAAAATGTGTTAATCTAGCTACCTTCAATATGTCAGAAAATATAAAGTACAGAGTTAACAAAAAAGAAGAGAAAAGTTTTATTAAACACTTAACGAAAGTAAGAAAAACAAAATTATGTGTAATTATAATGAAATTCATTACCATTTACTTAAAATTCTACTCCCGTCCCATTTTATTTGAAAAAAGTTTGACTTGGAAAGAAGTTTATACATTTTAAAACTTGTGGTACAAAGTGAATGATAGAATTTTCTGTGACAGTAAAATATTTTATCAAAGGTAAAATAGATAGTTTATAATTAAATCAAAGATAAATGTGCAACAGATTCGTTCAAGTGACAATGTGGCTGATCTATTCACCAAGTCTCTACCAACTGCAACTTTCAAGAAGATGGTGCACAAGCTTGGAATGCGAAGATTCAAGTCTCTGAATTAATGTTCTCATTAGGGGGGGTGAATACGCGTTGTACTTCTTTTCCCTTACGAGGTTTTGTCCCACTTGGTTTTCCTTGTAAGGTTTTTAATGAGGTAGCCTAGATGCGTATTAATAGATATGTGTACTCTTTTCTTTTACTAGAGTTTTTTTTTTAAAGTTTTTAGTAAGGCTTTTGACGAGGCACATCATCTATGAATTAGACATTCAGGGGGAGTATTATAAAGTATTGGTATTATAATGAATGTCTATCATGTGGAGTCCTTTTTAGGATATGATTAAAGAGTCCTCCTACTTGGGGACCAAGTTAGATTTTCTCCTATAAATTGAGTGCTCCTCTTCATTGTAAATTCATTCATCAAGAGAAATAACAAGTCTTCTCTTCTTTTCTCTCTAGTTTCTTCTTCTTATTCTATAGTTTTATAACACTATATCCATTTTACGTGACTTAATTTTATTTTTAGTCTATTCTAAAAATACTGATATATTTCTAAAAATACTGATATATTTGTGTTTCGAGTTTGTGCAATGAGGAAGGTTATGAGTTATTTCAAACCGTTAGATGGTGAGCACTAAAATGAACGGTTGAGATTGATTAAAGCAATCCAAAGGTATACTATAAATATATGTTTGTGTAGGGAGCATTTGGTAGTCATGTTTCAGTTGTGGTTTAAGTAGATTTTGGTGTTGATTGTTTGGCATGGAAGGTGGAGATAGAGAGGGAAATCATTATGATTTACCATATAACTTTTCTTTTTATCAACAATTTCCAGCTCCATTAACAGACATAAATAGGTTGTTATGGAGTAATCAAAATGTTTTTACTCATCAACATGCAGGTGGTTGCTATGATGGTACAAGTGGATATAATAGTAATTTTCCTGAGCAAAGCTTAAAGAATAATGTTAACATAGAAGAAAATGGTGCTCAGTACTGGATTAATCAAGAGCAAAAGAAAACGGGAAAAAATGCAAAAGAAGTGACTATGTTAGTCAAGGGTCAGTGGACGGAAGAGGAAGACAGGTACATATATTTTTATATATATATATATATGTGTGTTGATTGTGAAAGATATTAAACTCAACTTTATAATTTATTTGTTGAAATATATTATATACATATAAAGGATTTTGATGAAGTTGGTGAAGCAGTTTGGATTGAAGAGATGGGCTCAGATAGCTGAGAATATGGTGGGTAGAGCAGGAAAACAGTGTCGTGAGAGATGGCATAACCATTTGCGACCAGATATCAAGGTTTTTCTTCTTCTTATTCATATATAATTCTTTAATTTCACTAGTGAAGCTCAGTATTAAGTAAGAATTTGTTTCAGAAAGAGACGTGGAGTGAAGAAGAAGAAGTGATGCTAGTGGAAGCGCATAAGCAAATTGGAAATAAATGGGCAGAAATTGGTAAAAGAATTCCTGGAAGGACAGAGAACGCAATTAAGAATCATTGGAATGCAACTAAAAGAAGGCAAATTTCACGGAGGAATAAGTTGAAAAAAGAGGAAAGGTCGAATGTTCTTCAAGATTATATTAGAAGCAAGTACTTCAGTGATGATATGAGTATTAGTAGTAGTAGTAGTACTACTCCTCCAACAAATGATAATAATAACATGAAAAATCCCTGTCCCTATCTCTATCCCTATTCTGACGATGACGATGACGACACTCCATCTTTGCTCACTAATCAAACATATGATGATGAAATGAATTTCATGCAAAAATTGTTTGGAAATAATTCATTGGATGGGGCAAATATGACCACTCAACATCAACTTTATCTTCATCAGGCCGAATATGATCAAGCTGCTTCATCTTCATTTTCATCAGGAAGAAACAAAGACATGGTTTTATCTTCTAGCTACCCTGATCAACAAACCTCCACCAACAAATTCTTTTAATTAGTGTCATGATATACATATAACCAACCAGTTGTTAGTTTTCGTTTTTTTAATTTATGCTTGCTAGCTTGCCTTTATAGCTTTAATCATCATGACTTCTTTTGTTACTACCTTAATTCTGTCAGTCTATAGGCTATAAAGTTGCTTCCTTTTTGAATCAGATTATGTATGTTGTCATGTTGTTGGTTTTTAGTTGAATGACATTAATATCTGAAGACCAACCCGTTGGGTTTATGTTATTTTCTAAATAAGTATGTATATGACGTAAACCGCTAACTAACTGATGTTTATGTATTCATCATATCACTTCCTACTTTCGACTTACTATACTAATTTATATTCAATAGAATTGATTAAACGAAGCAAATCATTTTTCCATTACAAAGTAGATCCGTTAACTTAAAAATCGTACTGTGAACAATGTAACACATTCCAAGTTAATTTATACTCCTATAATTATTTTTTCATTCTTCAGCACATTCAATCCAGCAAATCACATTTCCTCATTAACAACATTTGTAACTTAATCTACCATCACACTACCACTACCTTGTTTGATATTATATTTCAATAGTTTAATTATTATATACTTAAATATGTTGTTATAACAATATATGCACGTTTATATATATTACAAATTGTAACATTTCCTTGAACAAACACGATATTTTAGAGGGAGAATAGCGACATCACAAATAATTAATTATTAGTTTCTTATATCACTTTCCTCTGTTGCTTAATTTTTCTTTTTAACTTGGGTGAAAGAAAATTAATACCGTCACCACAAAAAATAAGGGATTTTGTAAAATATCTTTTAACACAATGAGGTTTATTAGATAATTTTAGGTAATTATTACTTTTTTTTTGTCCATTTTATGTAGTCTCCGCGCTTACTAAAAATAATACTCCAAAATAATCAGTAGCAAATTAAGAGATAATCAATACTCAATAAATGTAGTACAATATTTTATTGAGATTAAGGAATAAATAAGAATAAAGTAGTCAAAACTTGTTTTTTTGGTTAATAATTTTATGATGCATGTAATATTAAAATACACAAATTAGATGTACAACAGTAATTCAATTTTATTTTACAGTTCCACTCATATAAATTTAATCCTAAAATGTTATAATATTTAGAAAAAAAGAGAGTAAGTTTTCCAAAATACTCATCGATAAAAGAGAATCCAGAAAACATAATAAAATGAACTGAATAATTTTATTTTTTTAAAAAAATTAACTGTTGTGTGTATTTTTAGTTATCACATGTTTTTAATAGTTTGAATGCAAGGGTAACGAATGAATGATTAAGGAAATATCTAGAATAGTTTCACTTGGTCAAAACCTTATTTGTGTATTTGAAGTGTGAACAAGTCTTAGCTCGTTCTTGTTCAGTCAAAGTGTGGATCTACATGATTTTAGGCTTCATTTTTGTTTTATTCCACTTGTTGAGATTAGCGTTTTGTGTAATTTTCTTCATAAAATTCCTCAACAGGTTATTGTTTTTACCTGAACTTTAACTCACAAGTTCACTTGATGAACGTTTTCTAAGTGAAAAAAAATGTGCAAGAGCTAACGAGAAAAAGCTCCAAACGGCTAACATTCCATAGATTGAGCAATTGTGTTTGGTGTAGAGAGTTTAGCAGATGAAAAAAGATTTCTCTTCCATTATCTTTTTCTTAAAGATAAAAAAAGACCCTTATTCTAATTGGTGCTTCTCCCACAATTTGCGTACATGATATCAAATAACGCTTTGCTTCTCAAAAAAATTAGTCCGGAGCAAAAATGTCTTTTTCTTTTCAAGGAACTCAACAAAAATGAATTGTCACAATAAACATATTGTTTCATGATTTTTAACTACCAAAAAAAAAAATCTTTGTTTGATTTATGGTCTACACAATTATTTCATTTAAAGAAAGGAAAAGAGTCAAATATGCCTCTAAACTATTCGAAAAAGTTTAGATATATTCTCCGTTTAAAGATTGGTTCACTCATGTCCTCGCCGTCCAACTTTTGGTCCAAATATGCCCTAATGAGCATTAGTTGCCATGTTGGGTATATCCAACTCATTTTTCATTTCTTTAAATGTCACATGTAATTTACATGTCATTTTGGCCTTACCACAAAATATTTATATGAAATGCAAAGATATTCGGATTCAAAAACATCTAATCCGACCCATAAATCAACTCCTTCTAAATACACCATCCGACCCATTTTTAACAATTTTGTTTAATTTTTATTATTGCGGTAAATCCCGAAAATGAGTAATTGATAAATAAAAAATATAAAAAAATATAAAAAAATATAAAATTAATGCCAAAAATTCTTAAAAAGTATAGCAACCTTAAATCTAACATTTCATTTTTTTAGATTTTTTATTTTTCGATAAATCTCGAAAAATGAGTAATTGATTAATAAAAAATATGAAAAGTATGAAAAAAATATAAATTAACACCAAAAGTTCACAAACAAAATATAGTAACATTTCAATCTACAATTTTTTTAAATTTTTTATATTTTTCGGCAAATCCCGAAAATGAGTTATTTTTTAATAAAAAGGAAAAAATATGAAAATAAGATAAAAATATATACGTCAAAATTCACAAATAAATATAGTTATCTTAAATTCAATAATTTCAACAATTTTTTTTATTTTACATTTTTCCATATTTTCCTATTTTTTATTTCTTTTTTGCATAATTTTTTTTTATATTTTTTCATATTTTTTGTTAATAAACTCATTTTTGGGATTTGTCAAAAAATTTAAAATTAAAAAATATTGAAATTGTTGAATATAAGGTTACTGTATTTAATTTTTAAATTTTTTGGCGTTAATTTTATATATATTTTATACTTTTTATTAAGTAATTACTCATTTTGGGATATATCGAAAAATATAAAAAATTAAAGAAAAAATTTTTAAATTGAATTTAAGGTTACTATAATTATTTATGAATTTTTGGCATTAATTTTATACTTTTTTCATATTTTCCTATATTTTTTATTAATCAATTACTCATTTTCGAAATTTATCGAAAAAATAAAATTAAACAAAATTGTTGAAAATTGGTCGGATAATTTATTTAATAGGGGTTGATTTATGTGTCCGATTAGGTGTTTATGAGTCAGAATATCTTTCCATTTTCATATAAATGTTATGTGGTAAAGCCAAAATGACATGACAATTCCATGTGGCATTTAAAGAAATAAAAAATGAGTTGGATATGTCCAACATGACAACTAACGTCCATAAGGGCATATTTGGACCAAAACTTGGATGGCGAGGGCATCACTGAAACAAACTTTAAACGGAGGGTATATCAAGACTTTTTTAAATAGTTTGGGGCATATTTGACCCTTTTCCCTTTAAAGAAAGGTGGCTCTTCTATTTCACGATTTTAAGGGTTATTGTTTATGATTAATGAATTGTTTTTACTTCGCATATTTTCTATAGAAAAATTATAAATCACAAAATTTTTCAGAACTTATAGAAACATATTGTTTCATGATTTGTCACTACCAAAAAAAATCTTTGTTTAACTATGGGCCACACAACTATTTTATTTAAAGAAGGTGGCATCTCTACTTCACGATTTTAAGGGTTATTGTTTACGAGATTAATGAATACTTTTTACTCTGCATATTTCTATAGAAAAATTATGAATCATACCTTTTTCAGAACTTATAGTGAATTAATTTTTTTTTCACATCAAATTTAGGTCCATGACTTTAGCTTAAAATTTGTATTGCCCTAATTTTTTATTCAATATAACTATATAATATACACTAGAAGACTTATTTCGAAGAAACCTACTACCCTAACTTTCTTTTCCACTAAAAATAAATATGATGAACATTTATCAAACAATCAACCTATTTTAGGGTGGTGAAGTTTGTTGACACCCAATTTTTGACCCACTCCGGTATGATTTAATTAGCGAGCTTCATGAGTTTTCCAAATCACTTAAAATAGATTAGTTTTATAATTTTGCGAAAATATAACGATACAATGTTTACATAATTGTGTATATAGCTGGTATATCTTGTGTATATTCGAAATCAGCCCATCTTTTAATCCAGGCCCAACTCTCCCATTCCCAATCAATCTCCCTGGCCCAACTCTTCCAAACACTCCCAGCCGGCCCAACTCTTCCAAACATTCCCAGCTAGCCCAACCCACTAAATAGTAACCCATCCTACCCGACCCGACCCGTTCCCCTTTCCTTCTTCTCCCCTCACCCCACGCGAACCCAGCAAAACAGAAAAGCCAAAATTCCCAAAAAACACTTAGACGCGCAGAAAATTGAGATCCCTCACGCGTTTCTCGTCTCCCTTTCCTCGTCTCTCTCACGCGCAAAGCCTCTCCCCAAACGCCCTTCTCTCTCTCCCTCTCTCCGTCGCGCGTGGATGAAGCGAGGAGCAACGGATACCTGCAGCTGTCAAGCTCGTACAGTCCCTGTTGCGTAAGACGATGCAAAATTCGTCCTTGGCATCGTAGGATCGATCCACGTCGCTTGCCAAGGACGAAGGACTCATCTCCAGCCTCCACATTACCTTTTCCGTTTGATTTGTCCACATTCGGAGAGGATTTTGAATTTCAAAATTCGAAATGACCCTCCCGCCTTCCTTTTCGAAACCCTAAAATTCCCTTCTATATATACCCCCTCCTTCTTCAGGGTAAGGGGTTAGAGATTTTTGTCGGAAAAATTTTCAGAAAGGGAGAAATGGGGTTAGAGTTTTGGGGGTTAGTTCTTTGGGTTGGATTTTTGGAAATATAAGTGCAACACGAAGAGGGGTTAGAAATTTTGGGTTTATAAATTTGGTAGTAAATATCAAGGGGTTCGGAAAGAAATCACGAAATTCTCAAGCAAACTCCCGGAGTCGAGAGGGATATAGCGGTTCCGAGTCTCCGTCTGAGTGAAACTGTCGAGTCCGTCCAGTCGAAGTGGAGGCCGATTCTGGTTGCGAAGCTCGTAGCTCCTTCTCGTTTCTCTGCTCGCATCCGTCTTAGTTCGCTGCACCCTAAAAGTTCGCCGTGAACTCACTCACCTCCTTGCAATTCGAGAGAGCCATGAAGTCTCAAAACTCTTTCATCGAGTCAAGCAGCACCTCAAAATGTGACAAATACAGATTCCGAAGGGAAGGATAGAATCGTAGAGCAGATGAAGAAGCCGGCCATGAGATTTATCTTATTTTTGTTTCTACATATTTGTATTTTGTTGTTTTGGGCATCAGCCCTTGTTGTCTTTTTACTTTATTGTATTTACTTTGCGTTATTGTTT